TTCCGATTCACAAAAAGGGTCCGAGGACGGATTGTAATAACTATCGAGGAATTTCACTCCTTCCGGTATGTTATAAAATATTCACTTTAATCTTAACCAGTCGAATCACGGAATACGCCGAGGAAATTATCGGAGACTACCAATGCGGATTTAGACGGAATCGTTCGACTATTGATCAAATATTTTCTTTACGGCAAATATTAGAGAAAAAATTGGAGTACAACGGTATTGTTCACCAGCTGTATATAGATTTTAAAAAGGCTTACGATTCTATTGACCGCCAGAAACTGTATAATATTCTAATCGAGCAGGGGATTCCTAAAAAATTAGTAAATCTAGTCAGGATGTGCTTGACGGAGACACTCAATAAAGTTAGAATCGGTAATAATCTGTCCGAAAAATTTGAGGTTCGTTCGGGTTTAAAACAGGGGATTCCCTTTCGCCTGTCCTGTTCAATTTGGCATTAGAACATGCCATTAGGGAGGTAATGCGTACCGAGAAAGGGTTGGATCTGGGTGGGACAACATCCGTGCTGGGCTATGCGGATGATCTGGTACTGTTAAGCGAAGACCTTGAAACTATAAAACTAAATACGACAACGTTAATGAAAGCCGGTAAAGAACTAGGACTCGAAATAAACGTGGATAAAACAAAATATATGGTTAGCTGCAAAAATGGCAATACTACTGGTGATATCGATATAGATGGTAATATGTTTGAACAGGTAGATAAGTTTAGGTATCTAGGTTCTACGATAACTAGAAAAAACGAAATTGAAGAAGAGATTAAGGTTAGACTGAATGCGGGAAATGCTTGTTATTTTTCTGTGACAAAACTACTTAGTTCGCGCCTCTTGTCCCGAAACTTAAAAATTAGAATCTATAAAACAATTATCTTGCCTACAGTTCTTTATGGGTGCGAAACTTGGCCGCTTACATTAAGGGATGAGCAGCGTCTTAAGGTTTTTGAAAATAAAGTATTGCGTAGAATATTCGGACCGAAGAAGGATGAGTTAACCGGAGAGTTCAGACGGTTACACAACGCCGAATTGCGTGAACTGTATCCGGGTAATATAATTGAGGTAATTTCATCGCGGCGAATCAAATGGGCTTGTAAAGTTGTTGGGCTTAGTAACGAGAGAATTCCTAAAAGGTTAATATTTGCTGTGCCGAATGGTAAGCGTCCGAGGGGTAGACCGAAGCGAAGGTGGGAAGATTGCATTAAAGCCGATCTGAAGGGACTGGGTTTGGACGGCGAACGGTGGAGGGAGGTGTGCAATAAGCGATTGGTGGTGTCGGCATCGAACCTTCGGGTTCGCTAAGCCTTTATATATATATATATATATATATATATATATATATAAAATCATTGTCCATGGTAGATACCCCTTTTTATCAAATTATTAACGTCCTCCTGAAACTTCGTGAATGGCTTCATCTCATCTTAACCTACAAATATTTTATTTACGGAAACTCCTAGAATTGGCACGTTTTCAATCTAGAGGTCGGCAAACTTTGTCTAATTAATTAGGTACTAAAAACTCATAAATACCCATTCGCTTTCCACTTGGATCGTAAGATAATTTGATCACAAAATTGAAAATAATAGTTGGCCTACAAAAATATTGGTCTATTTATCCTATACTAGTAGGCCCGTGCGAAAAATTCGCACAGCATATTGTTATCAAATTCCAAATTAATAATAAAATAAAGAAATCAATTGTTACTTTATCGATAAATATAATTGACAAAGGAAACAAAAATTAATTTAAATCTTCATTAATGTTTGGAATCAACATGTTTACAAATTTCAATAAGCTGTATCTTTTCTAAAAGTTGTCAGATTTAGATGATTTTTTTTCCTTTTGAAGGGATTTTATTTCCTTTCAAGGTGGGATGGCTTGCCGATCAAAGACACATCGATAAATAATATAAACTCCTCCTTTTCTCGATCATAGATGGCTCAAGTAGACAAAATGAGACATGTATTCAATGAGAGTGCTACAATTAACGTAAGTAAGGTTGTTTGGATGCGAACCCTATGTCTTGCGTTATCTCAAAAATAAAATGTTTTAGGGCTTAAAAACGCAGGATCCGATTGTTCCGGAGGATTAACGTAATAAAATATAATCGTAATAAGTAATAAAATATGTGGGGATGGGGATGTGGCGATATGTGGGTATGGGGATGGGGATAACGTCGTTATTTTGACATTTTCGGAGTATAGGTGACCTATACGTGGCGTGAAGCCAAACGGCTAAAATATTTTTGAATGTCATCTTTTTTCTCATTTGTGTGCTTAATAGCCTTATGATTAAAGTGGAAAGCAAATGAGTATTTGCAAATTTTTAGTACCTAATTAAATAGACAAAGTTTGCCGATCTTCAGGTAGAAAACGCTCAAATTCCGAGAATTTTCGTAAATAAAATAATTGTAGATTCCGATGAGAAGAAGCAATTCACGAAGTTTCAGATGGGTGTTAATAATTTGAATAAATAGGGTTCAGTACCACGGACTATCATTGATATGCAGTGATTTAGATATAATTAACAAATCAGTGAAATATTTATCATTAGTGTGTTCTATGTGTATTTTAATAATACTCCAATAACTCTGGATTACTAATAATAGTCTGTGGGCCAGACCCCCCTATCGTGCACCTCCCCCCCTCCCACATCTATATAAATTGCATATCGCTGTGCTACTTGTGACTATTTAATGAAAAAAAGCCAATGTTCCCACAAAAAAAGTGAACGCAATGCCCCAAAATGGCGTCTAAAGATGGCGGATTGACGACTTTGACTTTATTAGTTTTTTGGTCACCGAGAATCAGCACTTGGCTTAGTTTCCTCATTGTTGGTCTTTTCGTTTTTCTGCAAATTCTAGATGGATTGTTCTGAGATTTTCTTCGGCAATAGCAGAACTAGTCTTCAAGGGAAGAAGTGCTTCCATCTTTAATTTCAAGACTGAAGTCTTCCTCTCGAAATGTGGTAAGCCATTGTGCAATGCTGCTTTCACTAACACTGTCATCACCTCAGACTCCACTAATGTTTTTGCCCTTTAAGGTTCTGTTCCGACCGATTTAAACACGTAAAACGAAATTATGCGGAAATCACACTTCGATATCTCACCAAAGACTGAATATTTCAAAACTACTGAATTTCTGTAGCAGATAAAAAACGTTTGACAGGTGATTAGTAAGTGTTAACAACCTTCTTCTTCTTTGTCTTCCTCACAATGCCATTTCTAGCGTCGAGGAGCCTCTGTCCAGCGCAGCCACTCTTTCCGATCTCTGCTTAACCGTTTCATTTGGTTGAACGATTTGCCTCTTCTACCTCCTATCCTCTGCATGAACTCCAAATATGAAACTCTAGGACACCCTCGTGGTCTCTTCCCTGTGGGGAGAGCCTCTAATATTTGTATAGGGTCCATGTCCTCGTTCATGCGGCAGACATGTCCAAGAAAAGTTAGCAAATCGACCATCGTTGAGCACCTTAACCCAATTGGAAAGATAGAAAAACCTTAAAGCTTGGGTTACTCATGCATTAAACCACCTCCAATAATGTCTTTGTTAAGAACTTTGCGCAGTCCTACTTTTTTCGCCCCGCTCTCCTCCATACTTCTCACTAATCGACTATCGAACATTTTCAACATCAAGGCCACTTTTTAAAATGCAAAAATTTGTTTGATAAAACTTGTTAGAAAAATGCATTTCAATAATTTGTAAATAATAATGATTTCGGAGATGATGGATTGTATTTTGATTAACAAGTTGTTAATGTTGTTGTTAGTTTTAAGGCGTAAATCTGTGATTAACTACTTTAACATCATTTGTTTAATTTATTGTATTTTAAAACCATAACTCTGCATTAATTTCCAGACAACCCAATACTTAACTTATTACGTAATACTTTATACCATTCTCATTTGAAAAGTATAAATATACAACATATACCGTATACATGGCTAAAACTTATTTTCATAAGAAATTACAATAAAAAAGCTCTATTAAGTTTTGGTTAGATCATGCCAATGTGTACCGGGTTCTCATGTTTTGGATTTCGGCTATATTAATTTTTTTTATTTCATTCAATAGCAATAAGATTGATAATAATATAACTTTACTGAGATCGTTTTCATGAGCAAAGCCTCTCCTGGGGGAGGTACAAAGGAGTAAAGCTCTGAATAATATTTATTGAATTGATAATATTAACAAACACAGATAAAACAATGTAATAAAATAAAACATACAAGACAAAACAGAGAAATTACAATTTTAATAAAACTTTTTTAAAATAGAGCTTCAAGTTTTTTACTTTCACTAACCTATATATGTAATATATAGTAAGTGTAAGTATTGCGATCGTGAAAATTTTTGAATCTGAGTTTTCAACGGAAATACACATTTCGAGGTTCCCTGAGTCCAAATAACCAAGTCCCGAAAAATGGTCTGTGTTTATGTGAACACTCTAGCTCGAAACCTAAAAGTCGTACGAAACTGATATTACATGTTTAAGATAGATATATTCCTTTGATGTCCTGGGAATAAAAAACTGGATATGGTGTCCTTCACCTCCGAGGCACAGATATGTTTTTTATATTAAGATACTTTACGAAGGGGCGCAGGTTTGATGTATGCCCTCGGGGCCATTTTCGATTGGTATACCTCTGTTTCCTACTTTTGTCAACCAATTCATTGACTATTGTAACTATTTTTGTTTTACTAGAAGCCATGAAAGCTAGCTTCTAGAACCTTACTAGAAGGCTTATGTCTTTCGCAAATCTTAAAATTGTTTAAGTATCTGCCATTGATCATAATACCTCTGGCTTGCCAATCCAATGCCTTGAATGTTTGTTAATGAACTAATAAACGGTAAATAAGAACTTAATAATAATATATATACAGGAAGTAGAAGTTGTGACGTATATAAAATAAATGAGGTCGGTGACCTTTGTTAATATAAGATGTGGTGGGCCGGACTGGTTGGAGTAGAGTTCCGACTGATCCGCTGTCCCCTTTCAGTGTTGGCTCGCGCGCCACAACAGAAGGAGGTAGGTCAAATCTCTCTCTTATTATCTATCCCTGTCTTTCTCTTTTCATCGTTAGTTAAATGCGAGAACGTTATATTTAAAAAAAAAATTAATTTAAAACATATATTTGACTCCAAGTACGATAAGCCGTTAGTCAAAATATTTTAAATGTAGGTCACCTACATCCTTTGTAATCTTTTGAACTCATTTATTTAATATACCCTTGAATTATTACGAGTTAGTACATTGCTTTAAATATATATTATAGTCATATATAAATCTGAATTAAGTATTGATTTACAATATTAAACTATAAGTTATCAATTTATTTTTTACAAAGGAGATACACGATGGAATTATAATCGTACCTGCAATGAAAAACGTTTTATTCTATAATATAGTTTCTTTTTGGATGTGTTAATAACTGATAATAATTAAAATTGAATTTTATTCATTGCTGCTTTCGTTGACATTTACAATATAATTTATGACGTTTATAGCCAATAATTAATGTATCACTCAGCACATATATTCAACAAATATGATATTGAAGTCCAATTATAATTTCTAAAATAATTGTTTATTAAACGTCTTAAATATTTATTTATTTTTATTGTTTTGTTTACGGAAGCTTCATAAGATGTTAAAATGTTTTCCACTTCTGAATAAGAATATAAATATTTTGGATTAAATAAGAATTGAAAAGTTGCTTACAATTTTTTTTTTATGCTTATTTGATATATCAACGGATAATTATAAACGTATTAATAATATTTTTGTAACGAATTATTTAGAATAAGATGCATTTTAGGATTTATTATTATTTTTTTATATTCTTCAACATTTTACTCAATGATATTAGCCTATTCAATGAAGTTAGCAACTTATCAGGCCTAGCAGCTGTCTGGCTCTAAGAGTAGAGGGTTTATCTATTAATTGCTAGGCCTCCCTTAAGCCAGAACAATCTCTCTATTCCTTTCCTGCAATTCTTCGTAATCCGGTTGGATTACGAATACTATCCATGGTGTCTTAATGGTGACATATAAGAATACTAATTGATTGAGGAAGAGGAATCCAATGCCTTTCCTGTCTGATACCTTTGTGACGAGAGACCCAAATCAGCTCCTTATAGCAAGCCAACGATTCAAGGACCTCTTTGCAGTTCCCTTCTTGTGTGAAGGTTTCCTTATGTCCTTCTAGTGCTTGAAGGGCTCATCGGTTATCTGAAAAGATGGTAATATCGGCAATATTGAAGCTTATAACTTCATAATATTCATGGAGGAGACGGTGTAGAGTTACCCAAGAAAGATGATCTCCAAATCTACCCAAGAATCGGTGGTCTCGGATTAAAGTCACCAGCGAGTCTCGGACGTTTAACGTATTATTCTTTTTTTACATTTAAAGTATATAAAGTTCAGTTCTATGATTTGTCGTCATCTGGAGGCAGAATGTCAGGTTCTTTCAACAGAACTCTTTGAGTTTTGAACCAAAGAATCATGCAACTTTATTTTGAACATCTTACAGAGAATTGAAGGATTTTCCTTGAAGATAGTGAATCATTGGCAGGAAGAGATAGCTAGCTGGAAGATGGTAATTCCAGACTGTATCGGGTGACTATAAAGATCTGAATCAATGGATTGACCTTCTGTGATTCCTAATGAATTATGCCTTTTGATTAGATCATTGTCATTTATTTTTAAGAGCAAACTGCAGTGCAACCATTCTACGAAATATCTACTTTTTAGTGGGAGTAACAATTATTTTAATTAAACTACAGATATTCGGGCTTTCATAAGTTGTTGATAAATTTCTATTTGACTTATTGCCTCCTCAGTGGCTGACTTATGAAGTATTAATTTTGATGAGGGATTGACTTTTCTCAGTTATGCACAATTAGATGTATGATTCATTGAAAAACTTCAAGCACTCTTTTCGATTTCCGTTTCTTTTCGTTGCGTCTACCTAAACCGCAATGCTTCCTCATCGAAGTCCAGAACCCTCTTTCCTCGCTGATGTCGCCACTTCAAATTTCAGGAACGATATACTCATAGCTTGTTCAAAAAGAGTTTCTACTTCGGATTGCCGCATCAAAGAGGTTGTAGAAAATAATGGTATAATATTACCAATATTTGAAACCTAAGTGTCAAGTTGTTTAACCGAATAAAATGGTATCGAATTCAATTTTATATAGCATATTAAAATTAAAAAAACAAAACAACGAAATTGGTCATTTTTTATTACTCACCTCTTGAAATGGTTATTATAGACGGTATAGGATGAAAAATTGGGATGTGGCAACCAGTCTCTATTATCTTATACTTGCAGAAATTATTTGACAATTTATTTTTTTTTCATTACCCTCTGTATGAAAATTGTTTCACTTTATTGCTGTTAAAATACTCGTGATATATGCATTGGTATATTGTCTAACATGGCCATACATAAAGCCACCATAAAAAAATTGTGTGTTATTGTTCAAACATTTTAACTGTTTGTTCAGCTGCATTAGTTAGATGCTGTTATGCTAGTCAATGGAAATCCAGCATAAACAGATGGGTATAATTAACTATATGTTGAATGGGAAAGTATTTATCCTAAAAGTAAAATTAATAAATTTACAAAAATAAATTTTTTATAAATTTTATCAATTATCTCTTTATCTTTATGTCACGAGAGTGTTAAAAGAAGAAAATAATGCTTTTGATTGAACACACTATATAATAATATAAAGTATTTTTGCCATTTAGACATCTGTAAAAGTTTTTCATTTTATCTCGAAAGTGTCTTTGTTTCATCTTTAATGATTATCTTTAAGTTCCTCCTCAACAATTTAACAATCATATCTACTTAACACTTTTCTTCGATAACGTCAATCAGTTTATTTTTATCTAAATAAAACCTCTTGCTCTTGTCCTAACTTAAATCATCAGCCTGGTTATTTTCACACCAAAGTGTGAAAAGTGTATCTTTAGCTCAATTTCAGAGACTATATATATAGGGTGCCCTGTAAGTAGAAAGAAATATTTAAAAGGTTAATAGTAGACATTAAGATCTACAAAATAGTTTATATTAACAATTGCCCTATTTCCAGCACAAAAGTAGAGAATTTAAGATTTGTGTTTTTTTTAAACGTCACGTTTTTTGTTGAATTGGAAGCGATAACTAAAAAATAATTTGATTTAAGTAATTAAACATTGTTCCACAGTAAGCTAGATAAAATTTTCTTCAAATAATAGTAGATTTTGTCGTTGTTTAAATCATTTAAAGAGGTCTATTGAGTGGAAAAACTCAGCAATGTTTCGTTTAACAAAAGTCATAAATTATTTGTAATTTTTTTTTACTACCCTTCAACTGTAAAACAGTTAGCCCACTTTTAAATAAACTTCCTCGTTTAATAAGCTTTAAGTTCATATTCATCAAGATAATTTTTATAAGAAAAATTTTGAGATTCACCTCAAGTTGTGTCAAGAAATTATGTGATTTCCTATCCACAATTAACAGTTGCAAGGCTTTTATTTCTCGTTTCTCCATGATATGGGATGTATTTTAATAAATATGATTGCCTAAAAACATATTTCATTTATAAAAATAAAAATAATGATTTTTCAAATATTTGTCATGTAAGGTGGTTATGCAATTGTGTTTTTCTCCCATTTTTCTGTCATAAGAGTAAATGCGTATTTATAAGTGACAAACTTAATTCATACTAAAATTTACGTTTCATCAAAATGTAAATATTAGGACTAGAAACATTAAGTTTGTCACTTATAAATACACTTCAATCTCTATGACAGAAAACCACAATTTTGTAACCACCTGACCTGAACCATATTTGAAAAATCATTATTTTAAAAAATTGTATTTTTATTAATAAAATGTGTTTTTAGGCAATTATGTTTATTTCAATACATCTCATGCTCCAGAAAAGCACGAAAGAAAAGCTTTATAACAGGTAATTGTAATTATTTTGGCAGAAAACATGTGTACTTCGTAGTGACTGGATAGGAAATCACATCATTTCTTTATACAACTTGAAGTAAATCTCAATTTTTTTCCCAATAAAACTTAACTTAATTAATATGGACTTAAAAGCTTATCAAACGAGCAAGTTTTTACAAAAGTGGGGTGAATGTAATACAATTAAAAGGTGATAAAAAAAATATCAATAATAATAATTTATGATTTTGTTTTGAACGAAACTTAGCTGAGTTTGTCCGCTCAATTATACTCTTTAAATAGCTTTAAAAATGACAAACTCTACTTTCTTTTAAAGTAAATTTTATCTAGTTTACTAGGGAGTAATGTTTAATTAATTAAGTCAAATATTTTTTTAGTAATCACTTCCTATTTAACATTAAAAAAAAAAAACGCGGCTCGCATAAAAGCACAAATCTTAAATTTTCTACTTTTCTTCTCTGAATAGGGCAGTTATCTATATAAAGTTTTTTGTAGATCTCTATGGTTACTATCAACCTTTTAAATACTTCCCTCAGCTTAAGGGACACCCTGTGTTTTGCTACTACTGTGCATTGTATGTCCATTGTGTTGTGAACCCCCCCCCCCCCCGACCATCTTTTTAAATTAGAAATAATCAAATATATATAATTTCTTTTTTTTTTTGTCGAAGTTTTAATAACCACCTACATAAGTCATAATTCAATTTGATGGCGATGGGAATGGTTTTCACAAGAAAATATGCTATTATTTCTTTTATCTGCTTTGTTTTAAACTTGTTGAAGTTCTTCTATTTGGACAAAAACAATTTGGAATAAATGTTGAAATGATCTGGAAGTGATAAGGTTTTAGGATTTTTTTATATTCGTACATAATTAGTACCGCCTAATAGCATTAACCACATTATTTAAAAATGGTGCATGATATTTAAATGAATTAATGAAATTAATGTTTGTTACATTCCAGCTAGATGTTTTATTTTAATTTGAAAACTACAGTTTTTCTTTTTCAGCATGGTATTAAACAAAGATATTCATTAGAAATAATTAATATAGGGATGAAAACAC